TCCCATCACCCTTTGGAGCACAAGTTAGGAGTCATCAGGACTCTGTATCACAGAGCAGACAGCGTCCCCACTAGCTCAGGAGCCAGGCAGAAGGAGAAATCCCACACAAGACAGGCTCTAGAGCAATGTGGATATCCTAACTGTGCCTTCCTGAAAGCAGAGAAGAAACCCAAACAGGACTCCAGTCAGCCAACAGGTGAAAAGGAGGAACCCAGACCCAGACCAGTGGTCATTCCGTATGTTGAGGGAGTATCAGAGAAACTGAGACGTTTATTTTCTAAACATAACGTCCCAGTGGCTTTTAAACCCCAAAATACATTACGGCAAAGACTGGTTCATCCCAAAGATCCAGTCCCCCGGCACAAACAGAGCAATGTTGTGTATGCTGTTCAGTGTCAGGAGGGCTGTGATCAGTCTTACATCGGGGAAACAAAACAGCCACTGGCCAAAAGGATGGCCCAGCACAGAAGATCAACATCATCAGGCCAGGACTCTGCGGTCTACACTCATCTCCAGGCCAGCGGTCACTCTTTCAGGGATGAAGATGTTCACATCCTGGATAGAGAGGAACGATGATTTGAGAGAGGAGTAAAGGAGGCCATCTTTGTGAAAAGAAACCGTCCATCATTAAACAGGGGTGGAGGCCTCCGGGTTCAACTGTCCCCCTCTTACAATGCTGTGATTGCTAGTATCACTCAACCCTCTGTGAATAGTAAACAGCCATCAGTGAGCTAATGATCCATTGTTAGGCTGATGGTCCTTCTTGAGCATGTGATCAGCTGGTTTTGGTTGTCAGCAGCAAAACTGGTTGATCCACCCTGAGACGGTGCTATTTAAGAGACTGAGCTGAATACAGCACCTCAGACTGAGGAAGTCTCTCGGATGAGAGACGAAACGTTTCTACATTTTTTTGTTGATTTGCTTTGTTTTGTTTTTTTTTTATGTCCAGAGGACCAGATTTAACTTTTTTAGATATATGTATTTAGTTTGGCTCATCTGATGTCAGCAGAACAAATTAAAGGCAGAGGAAAAGGAAAACTTGAAAAGTTTTTTAAGGATGCACAATATTGGATTTTTGGTCAATATCCGATATCCGATATCGGATATCCGATATCCGATATGCCAATATGCCAATATGCTAACACTTATTTGGCCGATAACCGTTACGATACCAATATTTTTCCCCTAGTGCACAGTGTGAGATCCTCTGCACTCTTGTGCATGAAGGACATCCTTTTTAAGTTCACAGTTTTGGTCTTTCCATTGTGTCGTAAGATTAATCATGCTAACGACGTCCAAATGTCTGTGTTAAAACTCACCCTAGTGCTATCAGCGATTAGCTTCTCAATGACGTCGGAAATGATGACGGCTTGTAATTGTGGTAAGACTACGTCAGAAAAATGTACTGGGGACGATGTAGCGAGGCTCAACGTAGTCCAAAAATCTTCAGAATCCAATATCTTCGACGAATGAAAATGATTGGTTATCCAGAGCAATACACTCCACCAGTTTCTGAGTGATGCCTTTTGCCCTCAGATGGTCGCTGCTGTATTTCCTTGCTTTGTCCAAAGCTTGTAGAGTGGACTGCTGGTGAAGTTTTTCATCTCGGCCACTGACCGCTTTCTCGCTTCCTTTCTGGCCACCATGAACTCATCGTAATGGTTGGAATGTTGGTTCTTGGGATGGTTAATTAAGTTTGAAGTGCTGTAGGATTTCATTGTTGCTCCTCCTCACATCACTGCTGCTGAGCAGTCATTGCAAATAGCAGTTCTGCTATCACTTTCCAACACTTTAAAAAACTTCCACATTGCTGACATTTTCGCTTCTTCCTCTCCCGCCGTAATCAGATCAGGTAGGCGTGCATGATGTCATAACGTTGAGCAGGCACTGCAGGCATCCTTGTCACTGGGTTGTCATAGCAAAACAGGGCCTTTATATATACAAACATATATATAACGGTATATATATACATACAGTATATACACAGTACATATATAATCAGCGCCTTTTATATTGGTGAATTATTTTGATGGAACGGCCGATATTTCAATTTATCGCTAATATCGGCCGATACCGATACCATGCCAATAATATTGTACATCCCTAATTGTTATGCAGTGTAAAAAATACTAATTAAATGGATTTAATTTCTTTGGTTGAAACTTTTGTCAACCTGACTTTCCTCTCAGATGATCAAACACACGTCTGAAGCACTTTCACTGGCTGCATTTAGCAGAGCTATTACATTGCAGTGAAGTGAAATGTGAGTTACTTTTTGCATGCAGCTTCTCCAGTGGCAGACACAAGACCGGATCCAGAGAAGTCGTCAATTAGATTTCCTCACCACTCAGCCCTCTGCAGCACTGTATACAAAATTACTTTGTAGAACTGAGAGAGCGGCGTGATGAGCCTCACCCGTCAGGGAATATCAGGGTGTGTGTGTGATTTTATTTACTCAAAGCCTCTCAGCTGAGGTTACCACTTCAGGCTGACTGGATGTGCTTTGCCTAAAATAACTGCAGATCAACTCTAGTCCCAGAAACTTCTGATTGTAGGAAAACAGACGATACAGTCCAATTAACCATGTGAGGAAATGCCTATCTGTGGAGGCCATGGTTGGTTTGTGGAAGTTATTGGCAATTTTTAGATATTCAGGATTTTACTGGCAACAGTCCCCCCCCCCCCCCCCCTCTTTTTATGCTGTCCTGATGCCCACCTCTCAAAAAAAATCACACTGCAAGATTTACACTCCACGCTGATGTATGTTTTCTTCCTCCAGTTTGCAGAGAAGTTTGCAGAATACAAAGAAGCAGCACGGCTCGCTAAAGAGAAGAGTCAGGAGAAGACGGAGATGGCCACGTCTCCCTCTCAGGTAAACTCACTGCATCAGCACCGCTTCAGTGGAAACTGGAAAACAGATACAAATGTTTCAAAAACGGCCGATTCATCAGCTACAACTAATAAAGTAAAGAATAGTCGGGAAGGTGCTGCTCTCCAAAATGTCCGAAGGAAGATAATTGTTCAGCAACATGCAGCTTACAACCTTTAATTAATCTTTATAGTCTCATTGTGCTAATGTTGATTAAACAGGATATGTTTAGTATTTTACTGTTGTACTGCTTCCACTTGGACACTTTACAACAATTATGAAATCTAATCAGTGCTAACATTTTGAGTCAGGTGAAACGTATCAAAAGAACAGGATTATAAAAGTGTAGGAAGGAAATTTATTTATTTATTTATTTTGGTAGTTTTCAAAATTTTTTTGTATGACTTCAGAGGATGTTAGCTATTCTTGCAAGACTTGCCTGCTAAAACGTTATAAATAATTAATGTCATGAAAAAACTCAAAATAATTTAAATAAATGAGTAAAAAGTTCAATTTTGTGTTTTGAGGTACTATCTCAAATGTCGACCAGTGGAAGTCTGAACACGTTTTTTGTTTTTAAAAAAGAACATTTCTGGTGTGACTTTGTTCATGCTGATGTACTGTATTTAATGCAATAATAAGCTAAAAACTTTTTAAATTTATTTTTATTTTTCTAATGTTAATAGCAGCATGCTTCTGTAAAGCATAGTTTTATGCTACTACAGGTTTAACATAAAAAAAAAATTATATCGTCATTAAAAAACTTGAGTTTGTGTTGTTGTTATTTAATAACATGATATTTCTAAAACCGCAGATCAAAAATCCACATGGTTCTTAAAGACACAAAGGTGGAGCATAAAACTTTCAATCTGTATTTTTTTAATACTTGATTCTTTTTTTTAGCATTTATATCAGTTTTAAATTCTGATATATTCTTCCAACATGACTCGTTGTTTCCCGCTGCAAGCACTCTGTATTGTATAAACTCTGTGAGGGATGTACAGTTCAACAACAACATCATTCTAGTTAAGTGCTTTTAAATTTAATTCAGCAAAATATGCCTGAAGAACTTTTCTCTTGCAAAAGTCCAGAAGACGTATGTTTGAATTTTCAAATAGTGACAGCTGTGCTAATTTTTTCCTGTCACCGTGTTCAGTTCAATTCAATTCAATTCAATTCAGAGTCAGAGATTCTTTATTGTCATTCGCACCTCATACATGTGGGACATGTGATGGAGAGAAATTATGTACACAGGGTCCCAGTTACATCCAACAATAAAATGTAGAAAAACAGTAATAACATCTAAGATATGAACTAAGAAAAACATAAACTAAATATACACTAAGCACTCATAACATAAAAACATTACGTCAAACATCAGCACAAACATGAACATGAGTCTGTGTGAGCAGATGAGCACGAATGAATACATCAACATGAAACAGATCAACAGCAACATTGAAACAGATCAGCAGCAACATGAAACAGATCAGCAGCAACATGATGTGATTTTTCACTGTGATTATTCTAGTTAGAGATTCATGAGTCTTAACAGCCTCAGGGTATAAGCTGTTCCTCAGAGTAGTGGTTCTACACTTAATGCTCCTCAACCTCCTTCCTGAGGGGAGCGGGACAAAAAGTGTGTGTGCTGGGTGAGTGGGGTCCTTCATGATGCAGGTGGCTCTCTTCCTGCATCTGGAGGTGTAGATGTCTGTGATGGTGGGGAGACTGACTCCAACAGTCTTCTGTGCAGCCTTCACCACTCTCTGTAAAGCTTTTCTTTCTGCAGCTGTGCAGCCTCCGTGCCACAAGTTGATGCTGGAGCACAGGATGCTCTCCACTGCACACCTGTAGAAGGAGGTGATGACTGAGCTTCCCAGTCCAGCTCGTCTCAGCCGCCTGAGGAAGTAGTAGAGTCTCTGATGAGCTTTCTTGATCAGGCTGGTAGTGTTGTTGCCCCAGTTAAGGTTATCGTTCATGTGTACACCCAAATATTTGTAGCTGGAGACCACTTCCACTACAGATCCTCCTATGTTCAGTGGGGTGTAGGTGTGTTTGTTCCTTCTGAAGCCCACAATGATCTCCTTTGTCTTCTTCACATCGATGTGAAGGTTATTCTGTTTGCACCAGCTCTCCAGGTGTTCCACCTTCCTGTAGCTGGACTCATCATTGTTTGTGATGCATCCCACCACCGCTGTATCATCTGCAAACTTTACAATGTGACAGCCTGGATGAGTAGCTGCACAATCATACGTGAGC